GTTTAGGGTTTGGGGTTTAGGGTTTGCAGGTTTTCAAATGTTCAAAATTATGGATGTTGCCAAAAGGCGCGAAGAGACCCTCACAGCAAACGCATGCACACAGTGGGGCGCCCCGCGGCGGGCTCCCAAACCCTAAACCCTAAACCCTAAACCGTGCGCCGTTTTGCGTTGGATGCTCGCCCTGCAGTTCCGCCTTTGCTGCTTCGCCTCTGCTCGCCGTTATTATTCTTCTTTATTTGCTGCTTCCATTTGCTGCAGCAGCAGCAGCAGCAGAATATTCCCAATCCAGCCGAGAAGTGAGGCCCTCTGCAGCAGCCGCAGCAGCAGCAGCAGCAACAGCAGCAGCAACAGCAGCAAAAAGAAAAGCCACGACGCGAAAATGGGGGAAGACACTGCAGCAGCAACTACGGATCCCCAGCAGCAGCAGCAGCAGCCGGAGCTGCAGGGGCAGGACGAGTCGGAGGTGCAGCAGCAGCTACAGCAGCAGCTGGAACAGCTGCAGCAGCAGCTGCAGCAGCAGCGGGCGGAAGCAGCAAGACTAAATGAAACGGCTCGGGTTTTGCGGAAGCAGCACGATGGGGGCCCCGAAGTTGCTGCTGCTGCTGCTGCAGTTGCTGCTGCTCGGGAGCGCGTGCAGCAGCTGGAGCAGCAGGAGCTGCTGCTGCAGCAGCAGCTGCAGCAGGAGGAAGTGCCGCACTTCATCAAATATAAGCAGCAGTTTGAGAGGCTTTTAAAAAGAAGGTTTTTTGTTGTTCCTTCTTTCGAAATCTACGGAGGGTCTGCAGGACTTTACGATCTCGGACCTCCAGGTAAACCCTAAACTCTAAACCCTAAACCCTCGACGCGAAACCCTAAACCCTAGTTTGGGGTTTGGGGCCTCCGCCGCAGCGCCTGTGCCCTGCCTGCAGCAGCCCGCGACTGGGCCCACACCCAACGTTTAAACCCAAGCCCCACAAACCCCGAACCCCAAACCCTAAACCCTAAACCCTAATTTGTGGTTTCAGGCTGCGCACTGAAGAACGAAGTGGAAAACTTGTGGCGATCCCATTTTGTCCTTGAAGAAGATATGCTGGAGATTTCGGGGACCTGCTTAACCCCCTACGCAGTCCTCAAGGCCTCCGGTAAACCCTAAACCCTAAACCCTAATTTCTAAACCCTAAACCCTCATTTCTAAACCCTCGACGGCGAATAGGGCGCCTCCTGTGGGCTTTTTGCTGCTGAGAGCCGCACCTTCCTATTTGCTTCTTATTATCTTTTGTCTTTATTGGCTTCCAACTGAATGGCCTCTGCTGCTGCTGCAGCAGCAGCAGAGGCCAGCTGCTGCGCTGCAGCAGCAGCAGCAGCAGCAGCGCCAACGGCTGAACAATAAAGCTCTAGACAAACGATAACTGCCTAATCAATCGTCAACCAAACAGCCCACTTGAAATAATTGCTTCTTTATATTCCTCCTCCCCTGCTGCTGCTGCGCTGCTGCTGCTGCTGCTGCTGCTGCTGCTGCTGCTGCAGGGCACGTGGACCGGTTCACGGACTTTATGGTGGAGGACGAAGTGACAGGAGAATGTTTTCGGGCGGACAAGTATTTGGAAGAAGTGATAGACAAGAGAATAGAAGAGCTGCAGCAGCAGCAGCAGCAGCAGCAGGAGCAGCAGCAGCAGGTGCAGCGGGAGATCGAGGAGCTCGAGCTGCTGCGGCGGCAGGCCGACGCCCTCTCGCAGCAGCAGCTGCAGCAGCACTTCAAATCCTTGGCAGCAAAATCTCCCGCGGGCAATCCGCTCTCAGCTCCTTACCCCTTCAACCTCATGTTTGCCTTGAACCTCGGGCCCAAACAGAGCAGCAGCAGCAGCAGCAGCAGCAGCAGCAGCAGCAGCGGCAGCAGCAGCAGCGGCAGCAGCAGCAACGGCGAGAACCGCAGCAGCGCCCAAGACCCCGCCAGCAGCCCGAAAGCCCCCAGCAGCAGCAAAGACAGCAGCAGCAGCAAAGACAGCAGCAGCAGCAGCAAAGACAGCAGCAGCAGCAGCAGCAGGAGCAGCAGGGGCTTCCTGCGTCCGGAAACTGCGCAGAGCATGTTCGTGAACTTCCGGCGGCTGTACGAACAGAGCAGCAGCAAACTGCCGTTTGCTGCAGCACAAATTGGATTAGGGTTTAGAAATGAAATATCCCCTCGCGGGGGTTTGCTGCGGACTCGGGAGTTTTGGATGGCAGAAATAGAGTATTTCTGCCACCCGGAGAAGAAGCAGCAGCACGAGAAGTTTGCTGCAGTGCAGCAGCTGCTGCTGCCGCTGCTGCCGCAGCAGCAGCAGCTGCGCGGCGGCGGCGCGCTGCGCGCGCTGCCGCTCGCTGCTGCAGTGCAGCAGCAGCAAGTCGCCAACCAAACCCTCGCCTTCTTCCTCGCGAAAACCTTTTTGCTGCTGCTCAAACTTGGAATCAAAAAACCCTTCATTCGTTTCCGGCAGCACTTAAACTCTGAAAAGGCGCATTACGCTGCGGACTGCTGGGACGCGGAGGTTTTCACCAGCAGCGGCTGGGTCGAAGTCGCGGGACACGCGGACCGCGCGGGTAGGGTTTAGGGTTTAGGGTTTAGGGTTTAGGGTTTAGGGTTTGGGGTTGGGGTTGGGGTTGGGGTTGGGGTTGGGGTTGGGGTTGGGGGTTTGGGGGGGAGGCGGGGTGGGGGTGGTTGCGGTTTTGGGGTTTGAGGGGGGCGGGCTTCGAGGGTTTAGGGTTTAGGGTTTGGGGTTTGGGGTTTAGGGTTTAGGGCTTGGGGTTTAGGGTTTGGAGTGCGCGGAGGCGAGGCCTCGCGAACAGCCTGCCCACCAAATAGCAGCAGCAGCAGCAGCAAAAGACCAAATAAATAAAACAAATAAATGAAATAATAAATAAATAAATAAATAGAAATAAATAAATTAAATAAATAAATAAATAAATGGACTTGAATTTGTTTGCAGCTTATGACCTGAGCCACCACGCAGCAGCTTCGCACGTGGACTTGACGGCTTCGGAAACCCTAAACCCTCCTTTGAAGGAAAACTTTTTAAAACCCTTTTTTGACAAAAAGTTAATTGGAACAGTTTTCAAGAAGCAGCAAGCAGCAGTAATAGCAGCAATTGAGTGCATGCAGGAGCAGCAGAAGCAGCAAATGCAGCAGCAGCTCCTCGCCTCCGGCACCTACACCCTCACCCTCGACAGCAGCAGCAGCAGCAGCAGCAAGACGGACAGCTGCAGCGCCGACGCCGTCAGCAACAGCAGCAGCAACAGCAGCAGCAGCAGCAGCAGCAGCAGCGTGGTGGTGACGAAGGAAATGGTGCGTTTTGAAGAGAGCAGCAGGACGGTGCACGAGCGTCGGTACACCCCAAGTGTGATTGAACCTTCTTTCGGAATCGGAAGAATCATTTATTGCATTTTAGAACATTCTTTTTGTTCTCGAGAAATAAAAGGACAAGAAGAAAGGGTTTTCATGAACTTCCCCGCGCAAATAGCTCCCATAAAAGTGCTGCTGCTGCCGCTGGCGAGCCAGGAGCCGCTGCTGCTGCTGCTGCAGCAGCTGCGGCAGCAGCTGCTGCTGCTGCAGCTCAGCAGCAAAATGGACTGCAGCAGCGCCTCCGTCGGCCGCCGCTACGCCCGCGCAGACGAACTCGGAATCCCTTTTGCTGCAACAGCAGATTTTGAATCTTTAAAAGACTTTTCTGTCACAATTCGAGAAAGAAATAGCATGCAGCAAGTCCGCATGCATGCAGACAAAGCCCCAAAAGTTCTCTTCAAACTCTGCAGGGGCCTCGCCACTTGGCAGCAAATCCTCGACAAGTACCCCCTCGTCACTGTCCCGGAGGACTGAGCAGCAGCAGCAGCAGCTGCTGCTGCTGCTGCGGCTGCTGCGGTCGTGGTGCTGCGGCGGCGCTGCTGCTGCTGCGCATGCTGCGGCGGCGCTGCTGCTGCTGGGCATGCAGCGGCGCTGCTGCTGCAGTGCTGGGCATGCAGCGGCGCTGCTGCTGCAGTGCTGGGCATGCAGCGGCGCTGCTGCTGCAGTGCTAGGCATGCAGCAGCAGTGCTGCTGCTGTTGGTGCTGCAGCAGTGCTGCTGCTGCTGTTGGTGCTGCAGCAGCAGCAAATCTTGTTTATTCGCATTTAGTGAAGAGATATTTAGCCTATTTCGTTTGAAGTCCTTTTCAGCAGCGTTTTGGATTTAGAGCACAGCGCCACTGCTGCAGCAGTTGCTGCAGCAGCACTGCTGCTGCTTTTGCTGCTGCAGCAGCACTGCTGCTGCTGCAGAAGCAGCAGCACTGCTGCTGCTTTCGCTGCTGCAGCAGCACTGCTGCTGCTGCAGAAGCAGCAGCAGCAGCAGAAAATCGGATTTGTTCGCTTTTAATGAAGAGACATTGGAACACTTTCGTTTGAAGTCCTGTTGAGCAGCACTTTGGATTTAAAACAAAAAGGGAAAAAATAAAAATAAGAGTTGCAAGGAAAAAAATCAAAAAGCAAAAGAATTAAAAGGGAAAAAAGAATTAGAAAGGAAAAGAATTAAGAGGAGGTTAATGAGCTTCCAAAAGAACAAAAAAGAATTAAAAAGAAACAAGAATTAAAAAGAAAAAAGAATTAAAAAGAATTAAAGAAGAATTATGAAAAAATTAAAATTGAAAAAAATAAAATAAAAATGAAATAATGGAAAAGACTTTATAGGGCTTTTAAAGAGAAAAACAAAAGTGCTTTTATATTAAATGCATTTGATAAATAAATAAATAAATATAAATAAATTTAAATTTAAATAAATATAAATATAAATATGGATATGAATATAAGTATAAGTATATACAAATAGGTGTAAATATAGAATATATTCTGTTTTAAAATAATTAATTAATTTAACTTTTTAATTTAAAATTCCTAAAATTAATTTAATTTACATTTTTGCTTTTTGTTTCAAAATGTCCTTTGAAACTTTTTGAATTCAAATTTGCAAAAAGCTGATTTAAAGACTTTTTAAATGACTCGTTAGTCTTGTCACAGCGACTTCTGCTGCTGCGGCTGCTGCTGCTCCCGTTGCTGCTGCTGCTGCTGTTGCTGCTGCTGCAAGATGGGCCACTGGTGCAGCAAGTTACTGGCAAGCACAGAGGCAGCTGCAGCGGGAAATGGTTTGCATTGAGTCTCCCTACGGGCTCTGCAGCAGCTGCTGCGGCTGCGTCTATTGCTGCTGCTGCTGCAGCAGCAGCTGGTGCAGCAGCTGCTGCTGCGAGTGCTTTCACAAAGTTGCCACCCAAAGGGCCGAAGGCTAATGTGTCGCAGAAACAGCAGCAACAGCAGCAGCAGCAACAGCAGCAGCAGCAACAGCAGCAACGCCGACAGCAGCTGCAGCAGAGAATGAGTCACTGGAGATGGGTCTTGGTATCTTCTGGCAGCAGCAGCAGCAACAGCAGCAGCAGCAGCAACAGAAACAGCAACAGCAGCAGAGAGAGTAATACAACTTCCTTACTTTTTCTTGCAGATTTTTTCACTCTAACAATATTGCCTTTTGACTAGCCCGTTTCAGATCTCGCCCGCAGCAGCAGCAGCAGCAGCAGCAGCTGCTGCTGCTGCTGCTACTCTTTTCAGACCGTTACATAAGGCGGCGCCTTTTGTTGCATTTTTAAATATTAAAAAACATTAAAAATCGTAGACACGGAAAAATAGACTCAGATCTTTTGCTGCTGCCGGTGCCGACAAGTGGGCTCCGCTACCCAGCAGCAGCAGCAGCAGCAACGGCAAGCTGCTTCTGCTGTGTGAGCTGCTAGTCAAAAGAAATCGAAAATGAGGAAATAATAAAAGCTGCTCTTTCTGCTGCACACACATTGGCGCGAACAGCAGCAGCAGCTCTGGTCTCTTGTCTCAAGTAGCAGCAGCTGCAGCAGCAGCAGCAGCACCGCCTCTGCTGCGACCGCTGTTGACCCTCGAGCCGCTGCTGCTGCTGCTGTTGAAATGGGGTACCAGCGGTGGGTACTGCCTGTGCCAACAGGCGGTGTCTCGAGCAACAGCAGCAGCAGCAGCAGCAGCAGCAGCAACTGCAGCAGCAGCGGCTCCTGCAGCAACGGCAACAACTGGCAGCTCAACAGCACTGTGTGGCTCCCCAAAGCCAGCGAGCCCTCATCAACAGCAGCAGCAACAGCAGGAGCAGCAACAGCAACAGCAGCAGGAGAAGCTGCTGCTGCTGTTGCTGCCACATCGCCTGTGTCTTGTTCACTCACTTGCTGCTCCCTAGACTCCTTGCTGCCGGCCTGCTACCTGCTGGCAGAGCAGCAGCAGCAGCAGCAGCAGAAGCAGCTGAGCCTCGCTGAGCTGCCGGCACTCCCGGAAGTCGCCGTGTCGCTGCTTGAGCTGCTGCCGCAAGAGCAGCAGCAGCAGCAGCAGCAGCAGCAGTCACCTGCAGAGCTCTTTATTCCGCTTCAGCTGCGTTTTTTCTGCTGCAAGCGCAGCAGCAGAAACAGCAGCAGCAGAAGCAACAGCAGCAGCAGCAGCCAGCAGGCAATAGAGTGGCTTGAAGCCCCGGAGGTGCAGCAGCTGCTGTCGCTTCCCTCGTCATCTCCCTTTTGGGTTTACCCACAGCAGCAACAGCAGCAGCAGCAGCAGAACTTGTTTGCTGCGCTGCAACCGGAGACACAGTTCTTGCTGGCCCGCATTACTACGAAACAGCAGCAGCAACAACAACAGCAGCAGCAGCAGCAGGAGCTAAGTCAGCTCGTGCTGCTGGCACCCCTGACAGACCCTGAGGCTTGCTGCCGAGCTGCGCTGCAGCGCAGCAGCAGCAGCAGCAGCAGCAGCGGAGCCTCTGGCGGTGGATTTGAGGTGTACGTACACCTCGAGAGAGGCCACACAGGCAGCAGAGCAGCAAAACTGCTTATCTGTTTAACAGCAGCAGCAGGAGTGTCTTTACAGCAGGTAGGGCTCACTCGAGCTGCTGCTGCGGCTACTGCTGCTGCTGCTGCTGTTGCCGTTGCACTGCTGCTCCTGTTGTGATTGAGCTCGGTAGCTCCTTTGCTTCTGTTGCTGCTGCCTCAGAGCCGTGCCATCCACTGCTGCTGTTGTTTCTGCTGCTGTTGTTTCTGCTGCTCTTGCTGCTGCTGCTGCGGTTGCTGCTGCTGCTGTTGAGGCTGCTGCTCTTGCAGCTGCTGCTGTTGCTGCTGCTGCACTTTGAAGCTGCTCTATCTGCTGTTGCTTCTTTCATCACAGCCGCCAAATTTATTTTCACTTGCTGCTGCTGCTGTTGCTGCTGCTGCTGCTTAGCTGTTACTGGCTTTTTCAGAAGCTGCAGCAGCACTGCTGCCTTGCTGCGGCCCTCCGCGGCCTGTGAAGGAGCTGCTGCTGCAGTGCCGTTCGGCAGCAGCAGCAGCAGCAGAAAAGGACAGTCAGCAGCAGCTGCGGCAAACAGAAGGCCAGCAGCAGCAGCAGCAGCTGCAGCAGCAGCAGTTGCTGCTGCTGCGGGGCTTAGGCTGGTGCTCCTGGGATGCCTTTGGGCCGGACTTGACGCCTCAAGGCCTTGCTGAGGTTGGCCTGCCCACGTGCTGCTGCTGCTGCAGTTGCTGCCGCTGCTGCCGTCGCTGCTGCTGCTGCTGCTGCTCTTGTTGCTGCTGTTTCTGCTGCTGTCCCTGCTGCTGCTGCTGCTGTTGCTCCTTTGCGGTTTATCTTCGAATACCCTTATATCTTGTTATTTTTATTTTTATTTATTAATATTTATATTTATTTTCATTTTTACTTCCTTTTTAACTCTTTCTTTTTGCTTCTGCAGGTTGCTGCTTTGGGCCTTTTCGCCTGGATGCTAATAGACGATGGCTGGCAGCAAACCAGACCCCTTCACAAACAGTGAGACAGCAGCAGCAG